AAACCACAGAACACATTCCGAGTCACACCCAAAACACCCACGCTCCATATATGGTAAGGGTCCCAGTCTTATCATACAACGAAACATCGATCATTTTTTGATCGTGAACGCGAATTTTAGCATATATGTTACTTCTTCAAAATGATTGCAAACGAAGAGTCTAAGAAATAGTAAGTTCAAAAGTAAGGAAATTGAGATATACTTTTCCACGGTCAACACAATTTATGTAATAAGAGTAACGCGATGCTAATGAACGTTTCACGCCATAATTTTTGCAACATTCGCAAGTTTTTTTTATCTCTATTAAAATTCGCTTTCAAATAATGGGTGACTCATAATGAAGGACCGTATCTTGCATTGCGTATTTATTTCAAAATACGTATTATTAAAAAGACAAAATGTACCATGAGATGCAGCGTAAAAAGCTTTACAATTTAGATAGGATCACTTATTTTATAGTAGCACGTTTTTCCAAAAGAAACCAAATTCTCTGCGACTAGTTTTCACCATTGCGAAAGAATCCTTTTGATCCTACACGAACGAGAATTCCTTTTCATCTTTTAATCATACAATGTCTTCATAAAAAAACAAAGTATACCACAAAATACAGCGAGGAACGCTCTACAATGTACACAGTAAATTGTGGAGCTTTTTACGCTGCATCTCGTGATATAGTTTGTTTTTTAATACTATGTATTTTGAAATTAAAATATGCAATACAAAGTGCGGCGATTTATTATGGGTCAACCGTCATGTGTTTAAAGAAAGTAAACTTGCCGCCAGCATTAAACTGAATAAAGCGGACATCAAAAGCATGCAAACAGTTGCATAAATGTACATGAATGAAAGTGTAGGAAATAATTCAAATATATGTTCTGGTAAAGTATACAACATTGAAATATACATATATCAAACTACGTGTTAATAAACCGCATGTGTATGATGCTGATTGTCGTTCTGAAAAGAAGAAAAAAACATTCGTTATCTTTTAATAGGCATTAGGACGTTCCGCGTGATACATATAACAAATGCCTATGCAAATACAAGGGAAAAGAATATAGTAAAATGCAGAAGGCAAAGAAAGCGAAAGAGATAAAGAGAAGCATATTGTCTCATCAGAAAAAGACAGATGAAAACCATCGTCTACATAGACAACTTCATTCTCATATTGATACAAGCGTTATAGCTCAAAATCTTCGTATTTTCAGAACCGTTGCTTGTGCATATTCTCTATTGATTTTTGAAAACGGTACGCGCCGTCTCCCTCTTTCATTCCACCAGTAAGACTTACTTCATGCTCTAGAATGCCGACAGCTTTGGTCTTTGCTCCATTGATGATCAGGTCTGTTACTGCCATCTTTTTAGACTTTTGTTTTTTGTATGTACCATTCCTTGTGAAACACTCACGGAGACAAGCTCTATTATAATTTTTCTAATCTTATCAAGGTTTGTAAAACCAACACAGATCCAAATAGTAGATTATGCTTCGAGTATACTTGGAACCTATTGCTTCTATTACAGTTAAAAGCGCAACTCGTTTCGAAATTCGACAGTACATATTTTTAATAATACTATTTAATAGCGACGTCTTTTATCCTTAGTTAAATGTCATTTACAAACTATTCCGCATAAATAATTCTGTTATTTGTATAAATGAATCGATTATTGGACTTACTCATATGATTTAATAGTTAGATCCATTAAAAAGATGTTTTTTACAGAAAGAATTCCGCATAGTTTATAATGTCATGTTATCATATTCTCGTCTTGATTCTTTTCATTGCTAAGAAGTAAGCTTGAAAGCTAATCTAAAAGGATTCATGGGGCTAGTACAGATATTAGTTCATAACGCGTCCCATGCATTAGACACCATTTGGGATGCCTACGCTTTATTCGAATAATAAGGTCTAAGTGCGGAGCGAACTTCCAAAATCTAATGCTTTTTTTCAATAAAGTTTAGCAGGAAGTTATCAGAGCACTACTTTTCAAAATAGATATATTTAAGCATTCTAACAGTGTCGAACAATTGTATATAAAATTTTCAGTTTCATCATACTTACTGTGATGTAAAAAAAACAAGCAGAATCTTGCATCTTTTTTCCAATTATATTGATGGAAAACTGGTCTCGTACAGTGGCGTTAAGAGCTCATCACTAATACACCAAAAATTTTTGAGTAGGAAATCAACATAGGAAAAAATCCTGGCAAGATTTTTCTACTAGGAATTGTAAAAGTTGGATTAAATCAATTTAATCACTTGCGATGAAGATCTCTCAATTCTATGGCACTTGACAGTGAACATCTCACAGCTATATTAGTGATGAAAAACTGGAAATTGAAGACTACAATATACTAATAGATCACACATGATATAGTCTAGTACAGAATCTTTTGAAAACAGAAAGCATTTTAATCATTGCCATTAGCTACAAAAAAATAATATTATTCAAAATTTTTCAATTTTCCATACGTCTCGAAAGTTTTGTGTTATATTGGATATCAATCGAATAGTTGTCTGTTTTTGTCATTGAAAAAAAAATTAAATGACTAGGTTCTTCGATATATCATGGCATATATTTACAGTCACAGTGACTTTTTTTTGGTTAATATCATGCTCGCATATTTAATATTGTTATGTGACAGTACCTAGCAACAATGCTATGTCAAAATTGTTTTTATTTGATTGAAAAAAAAATTGTATTTAATATATTATTCAAATAGTCTGTCACGTATTTCTATATAGCCGTGCGCAATGAATCAATTCTAAAATCTATATAAGGCATCTTGAGTTTTCTTATATTCATCAATTCAAATATCACTACTAAACTGATATATCATCTTATCATATTGGGAATGTAGTTCTATATGTTACACTCATATGTCTATGCTATTCCGAAGTAATTGTTCAAACAGCCATTTTGAAATAGATGAAGAAAAACAGCGAAGGTCTTTTTTGTTTATAAATGATTATAATAAATATGAAATTTCTAAAATCATAACTGCAGTATCTGATGGTGTTATACAAACAAGCCATAGATTTGTATTGGTTAGACTAATTTCTGCTGATACATGAACAGTTTTTATGATAAAATATATTTCGGAGCTAACAAAAAAACGATGTCGAGTATTTTGTAGTTGAATTCACGAATAGAATCCATTCATGTTCTTTCAGGACCCATTCCCAAGATCGTATCAACTTGTAATAGAAGTCAAGACCTGCATTACATAGACACGTTTTTTTATTTAAAATATATTATATATTTTATCAGATATTGATTTAAATGTTGTATAAATGCATCTAAATGATAGACAAATGTGAAAATTTAATCTTTTGGAAACTGATGTGTTGCGTTTGAAATGCTCCCTATGATTCTTTTGTTTTAATAACGTAATAAATATGTACAGTTATAAAACCTGGAAGACCTTGCATCTTGTACAGCATATTTATTTTGAAGAATAAACGGAGTTTATAGCAGCACAGGCATGCATGTGTTTTCTCTCTTCATTAGAGATCTCCGTGACCAATTTGTCGGGACCAAAAAAAAACAGATCATTCGATAATAGTTTAGATGGTGGACGTGAAAAAATAACTCTACTTGATGTTTCACGTTCAGAATCTTATGCTCTTTAAAACAACATAAAAAAGTCGAGGATATAATAATCCACAGCGGAGAAAACTGCAGCACATTCGTCGTGACCAGAAAACTTCGTGACTAGGCGTGACCAAAACTGTTCACGACGAATGTGCTGCAGTTTCCTCCGGCGTGAATGATTATATCCTCGACTTTTTTGTGTCATTTTAAAGAGCGTAAAATTCCGAACATAAAACATCAAGTAGAGTTATTTTTTCACGTCCACCATGGAAACTATTATGGAATGACCTGTGTTTTTTTCGATCACGACAAATCGGTCACGCAGATCTCTACTCTTCATCCTAAGAAAGAAATTTACAAACAGAACAAGTCAGTCCTGAAATTAAAGCATCAAAATAGTGTTCAGTCTTCGTAGAGTAATTACTGCCGTCTAAGTCGAAAGAAAACAATTTTTAAATAGGAGTTTTAGTTTCATTGTATTCCTTTCGATAGAATTCAATCAGTACAACGAAAATTATAAGTACTAGCACTGCAGGAATAGAGGAAACATGTCACCTTTCAAAGCATAGTCAAGGATTACATGATGATTTCATCAAGTCAGAAAGAAGTCAAACAGTTAAACGGGGCATATCAATGATGAACAACATACAGAAACGTAAGAATTGATCTTCGTGTTGTTGAGTTAGTTTTAAAAGATATGTTCTATATGATTACTTATAAGTAGGAAGAAGTTTCATACAGATGATGAATAAAGAACTACACAGTATCTTCGGTCATCTTCTACATGATGGAATAGCAGGCGATGGACAGCTAGCTGATAGAAAGAGGGATCTGCTCAAGTGAGCCAATGAAATTGAATCTTTTAAAACTGCATGGATGTAAATCTTATATTAACACTTCTGATTCTATGATATTATCTAACATAATCTGTTCAAATGCATTTTAAAAATTGGCATTGTAAATAGTCGATCAGAACATGCAGAAGGTTTGCTTTAGTAGTGACAGCTTCTTCAGGATCAAAAAATATTTCTATCAGTTATTTCGGTATTTAGCATTGATGACATAGTACCACGGTTACAATCAAAGGTAAGTTATACTTGTTATTTTATTGCCTCACATTACTGATCACAGAAAGTATTACGGACGTCAATACAAATCTGCAGCATTAAGATATGCGACGTCATTATAAAGATAAAGAANAATTTTATATAAAAACTATAGTGACTATACGTTTGATCTTACACCATTTAATATAAATACCATGTTTGGAACAACAGAGAAATGTTTGTATCTTTATTTTAATTTCTTTGTTTTTTTTTTATAAAGTTTATTTTAATTTTGTTATTTTTAGATACAGTCCTAAATGATCAAAATATGAAGAAAGTTCGGAAAGCAAAATGTTTTAGAATGGACTACAATCTATTATCATATAAGTTGGTTTTTCAACTTGCGTTAAAAGAAGATAATATGATATATATTTCAAATGTTGTATGTGAAACTGATATTGTTCATGAACGTAAGTTTTCTATATTAAAATACTAAATAGAATATGAAGAGTATATTTGAATTTTAGAAGTAATGAAACAAAAATCTGGTAAACGAAAGGCTTTTAATTCAACTGAAAGTCTTTCAGAAGAGGAATGCAATTTCGAAAGCCAAGTTTCGAATTCATCGAAAAGATTCAAGTCATCAACACCACCGTTGATTGGACTTCCGGTAAATATACATCTTCATTGAAATAATTGATTCATTTGAAAAAGTACATAGCATAATAAATTTATTTATTACAGATTACACGTGTCTCAAACGAGTGTATTGATTTTGACATGGGTCGTCAACAATGATCCGTGCTGAAAAGCCATATCTGAAGATCTTCATACAAATGTTGTCTTCCATGACCTTTGAAGCAGCTAAATAATCAACAGTTTGCTTTTTCTTTTTGAATTTTTATTTCGTAAAATAAAACGATTTAATCATGAGAATTACCGAGGCTATGAATGTGGATGTGGGTGTTTGTGTTAGTGTAGGTATGGGTATGGATGTGAATGTATTTATTTCTTCAGTCCACACCCAATATTCTTTTGATGTGTTATTGCACCAGTGGGAAGAGAAACATGGCATTCTCTTTTTTACAGTATGATTCAGTAGGAAAGTCGCACAACTCGGAATCGAATGATTACTCTCTATTGAAATAAACAGAGAAGTGTTTGTTTTACAACAGTGAATCATAACCAAATTCTTTCCCAGTGTTATTGCATCACTTCTAAGAGAGAAATGAAACAATTGTGCTAACAGTTTGAGTTGCCGGCAAATTTTTGCGAAGTCGAAATCGAAAGTTGTTTTTAGTTGACAACAAAAGTGATATAATAGCGCTCAAATTTGCCTTGATTCTCTCGTTTCATAAAGTGTTTTTACACAAAATTCAAAAAGTAGATGGTGTAATTGACTCTTCTCTCTTCGAAGTCAGAAGTTAATTTTCTTGTGAAAATGCTTCTTGTAATATCGACCTGTGGGCCCCGGGTCCTGTTGTGGAAATCAGCTATTTTCGAATTATTGTTGTATACTGATCCATTGTTTTCCAAACAAATCAGCAACGGAAATCCGTATATACCTGCGATTTTCACTGCTTGAAAGAGGATACTGAAGCACATTGAACTATGTTCTACTCGCAAGATCTGAATAGTTTACTGCAGATTTTGTGCATAAATCGAACTTTTTACACACTTATTGTTTCCAAAGTTTTCAAGGCATTTTGAATTTCAATATAAACAATTTGCAGCTCCTATTGTCTCTCAAGTAAGAAAGCCATGCACTTTTTCAATCTCATCTTAAGATTGTAGACTACGCGCATCAGAGCTATCGAAGACCATCTTTTTTATCTACTAACACATTTTCATCTGATCAACGACCAGATAACACGAAAGTATAGGATTTTGACTATATTGAATCTCGTAACATTACTTATTCTCTTTTTGCGACTGATTCAAGATGGACAAAAAACATGTAAGAAAAACAGTTGGCTATTAGCGTTACCTATCTTCCAATGAAGTGATCGCAACCTAGGTGATTCGCATCCAAGGAGGCTGCACATAAATTCACATACACACCCTCCATTTCTTCTACTGCAGGCATTTCAAGTTCTCTTTACAAAAGACATCTGTGATTGGCGTTCAAAGATTCAGTCCATATTTAAGAATAAGACATATTAGAATTGTTGTGAATATAGAATATAAAGAGTCTTCCTTTTATGTTTGCATCATACATTTAATAAGATGTAAAAAGAAACTAATGAACAGAGAGGATTTCAAAAAAGTTTGATTTATTTTAAAATCACAAAAATATAATAGTGTAAGTTTGAATAGATGTCATGTTTGAAAGATGAAAGGGTACGGATGTGGTGGTGTGGAGTGTGGATGTGTGTTTATCTTTNCATTTTAAATACTTTCTATTGTTTGATGTTAATATAGAAAGAAATGAATTTTTTTTATTGTACAGTTTTCAAGTAAAAATCTTCTTTTCAATTCGGAACTGAAATTATTATCAAAAAATAGAAACTTGGAAAAAGAACGTTTACTTTTCGCTTAAAATTGTAAACAGAAGTGACTTTAAATTATATAAGTTTAAACGAAAATTATTCATTGACCGAAATATAAACATAACAAGTCAAGAAAAAGCTTTTTTGGTTAACTGCCAAATTAAAAAACTTGTTTTATTTCTAATTTTCAGATAAAATTCATAATAGGACAAGTCTTATGTGACACGAGGTATGACAATGTACAATCTTTCAACTATCTCGATACAACGCTTTACTCACATTCAATCGGAATCTGACATTTCATCAAAATTATTCGTTAATTTTTGTTGGAAATGTGATGTCTGATTTCATAACACAACAAGTGAGCATGAACATTTACAAAATAAAATCTTGACCGATGATTATCCTCAAGGATCTTTCGACTCTTGATTACTAATAATTTCATACGAGTATGTGATACAAAGAGGATCTGTACTTAGGAAAGCAACTTACTTTATTAATTTAAAGTCTTTCGGCAAGGTGTTGTGTTCGAGTGTCAATGATTTGATTCTGACTCAAAGTCAAATCGGCTAATATTTATATCAAAAAGACAAAAAAGATTATGTGAATTGTATTTTAACAGTGTCAAAATTCTTTAATTATGTGATAAAATAGAGTCGATTGCCCATATGAGGTAGTATTAGATAGGAATTTCAATCCCTACTATAATATTAAATTCTCTTTTCCACTAATAAGAGAGTTCTTTGACAAATTTGAATTACTCTGTTAATGAAAACTCGACATAATGATAGGATGCAGATAAATACAAGACCCACACCAATATCTACATTTATCTAAGCTATTAAAATAGTTTGAGATGTCACAAAAATCGCATGTAAACGGTCACAGAGATTTATACATCATTTATTAAAACGATGCAGTCGTATTAAACAAAGATACCTTGTTATTTATTTGAAATGTTTTTGGGGAAAAGATCACACTGCTTATACGATTGAGCCTCATGATGGTTAAACAACGTTTTTTCCATTTCCTTACTTGTCCGTATGTACTAGAAAATAGTTATAGTGATAAACGCATATTTAGCATACTTATGACCTTGTTTAAACAATTAGGAAACTCTTGCTGATTTGGAACGCTCACAGAATGAGATTCTGTCAGTTTCCACTAAAAATCTTTCTATGATAGACTCTGACTCGATCATTGATGATGAATTGTTCAATGCAATTTTTTGTGGTAAACTGAATAGCTACTGAAACACATCAGTTGAAAACTGCTTACTTTATTATGTTTTAGTGCATCCGCAAGACTTTGTGTCCCATTATCAGGGTGGGTGTGAATGTTGTTCTTCACTTCATTGACATCCACACCCATACCCACAACCACACCCATTAATTTAATACAATGCTAATACTAAACTGACAGTCATAATCCTTCATTTTAATGCCGTTTCTCAGAGACTTTTCTTTAAGCATGGCCAATTCTATAGTAACAAATATGATAGTCAACATGTTTACGAGTGTAGACCCTCTATATACGAGGAAAGACCTGTATCGATAGTATGGCGATGGAAAAAAATTGAAGCGATCATTACCAATCATTGATCACCATTGTAATCTTTGCAATCTACTTTTCTCTTTTGTTCTTTGCTGTATTCGAGCCATGCCATACTTAAGTATCATATTAAATATATTTTTGAATAATGATTTCAACAGACACACGAAGGTTTTAGCAATCATTCATGTTCTTCGAGCAAAAAGTGGCAACAACAGAATGTGTGGGAGCGGGGAGTGGGCGAGACGAAGCTAAATTTTTGATTGCCAGGATTGCTTTGATAACAATCAGCTTTTTTTCTCCTTTATGGCAATGATTTATGTCACATTTTCACTACAAAACACTGTTTCATAAGTTCTATTTCCATTTTTATTTTTTGTATATTTCTTATATTTGAAAGTAGATGAATATTGAATACATGCATTTCTACAGTAGCACACATGCTGTCATCCAAGAGTCATAGGGTTCAATTTGAATCAACTCAGAGAAAATATTAGATTCAGGAAAAATATAGAAAAAATGTATTCTTGCTGTTTTCTCGATATAGTTCAACATTATAGAATTTCAATTTTTCGTTTTCGGTGATACATATCTCTTCGAAGACAAAATTAAAAGCCTTGAAATTTTCAATGTAGATGAATCCCGGTTAGTTCTACCATCTATGAAAATTGCGTTGATTTAAGTTCAATCAAAGCAAAGTCATTCTCAAAATATCGATCACTATAAAATATCAGAAACTGCCATTGAGTAGCGGTAAGTATTTTAAGAATGACTTTGCTTTGACTGAACTCAAATCAATGCAATTTTCATAGATGGTAGATCTAACCGGGATCCATATACATTGAAAATTTCAAGGCTTTTAATTTTGTCTTCGAAGAGATATGTATTCCCGAAAACGAAAAATTGAAATTCTGTAATGTTAAACTATATCGAAAAATCAACAAGAATACATTTTTTTCTATACTTTTCCTGAATCTAATATTTTCTCTGAATTGATTCAAATTGAACCCTATGACTCTTGGATGACAGCATGTGTGCTACTATAGAAATGCTTATATTCAATATTCATCTACCTTCAAATATAAGAAATATACAAAAAATAAAAATAGAAATAGAACTTATGAAACACTCTTTATATTCATTTAACATTTGAGAAATTTGATAGCCGAAAAATAGCAGCTGCACCATACTCACAGATGAACATTTGAGATATAAGAAGCAAAAACTTCATTCGATTGTTTCTAGATATAGAAGACCATTTGTAATCATTGTCAATCAAAGTATTCAGAGAATCAGCTTCCTCTCCCTCCCTTGATTTTGTCTCATTTCAACCATAGTTCACTCCCAATAGGTGCTAAATTGATTTTTTGAAATAATTTAGCTACATAGTCATCTACATAAATATATGTTTTTTTTGCACTACAACTAAAGTCAATTTAGAACAACTTGAAGATTGTCATACAAAAAACTGTGTTATTCGATCTAAGTAGTAGTCTTTATGAAATCATTATAGAATAATCAAATTTGAAATATTGTTATTCGTGACTCAGTTTTATTTTGTATAAACTGAATTACTATACTTTGATTATAACAAAATCAATTGCATTTTTTCACTGAGTAGTTATTGAAGTCACGCTATTAATCAATAACCATCGACAGGAAATGTTATTACTTAATCAAGATATTAATCAAATGAACGTCGTTCATGTTCAGACATTTTTCTTATCCGAAAATACAGATGAACAAATTGAAAAATAT